TACACAGAAGAAACCTCAAACCCCTTCCCAGACTATGCCTCCACCCTTGACTTTTAACACCACAGATTTTGTTTTCTAGATAGTATAGTATTTATCCATCTATTGATGGACATGGAGTTTATTTTCTGTTTAGGGTTATTATGAATAATGCTTTTAGGAACATTCTTGTACTTGTCTTCTAGTGTGTACATATGTATGTTTTGATTGGGTAATACCTAGGAATGGAATTGCTGATCCATAGGGTATACATCAGCTTTAGTAGATACTGTGAGAAATAGTACCAAAATATACTCAAAATGTATGAGAGTTGCAGTTGCTCCACATTCTTGCTGATACCTGTTAATTGTTTATCTTTTGTCATCTTTTAATTTTAGCCATTCTGATGGATGGGATGCTGGGGTTTTTTGTTGTTTTTAATCCTCACCCAAGGATATATTTTTCATGAATTCCAGAGAAAACAAACTAGAATGACCTTTATAGTTTGGTGTTAGAAATGGAGATAATGGTGTGAATTCATTGTTTTCATGACAGAGAAATAATTATAGATGCAAATGAGTATATGTACTAGTACACACACACACTTGAGTTCTGTCCAGTGAGAGGATTTGGTATGAGACACCCCAATAGCAATGAGCATAACCTAGCACCTAGACCAGTGATGGCGAACCCTTTGAGCTCGGCATGCCAGCATTTTGAAAAACCCTAACTTAACTCTGGTGCCGTGTCACATATAGACATTTTTTGATATTTGCAACCATAGTAAGACAAAGACTTATATTTTTGATATTTATTTTATATATTTAAATGCCATTTAACAGAAAAATCAACCAAAAAAATGAGTTTGCGTGTCACCTCTGACACGCGTGTCATAGGTTCGCCATCACTGACCTAGATTTTGATTTATAAAAACATTCTTCACTAAAAGGAATCAGAGCTTCTTGGAGAAATGACTGTTGCAGAGAAAGCATAAGATGATACTGAAATATCTCACTCCAGGAGGGAAGAAAGTTTTCCAAGAATTAGGATGACATGTCAAAAGGACAAAAGAAAGCTTGAAGGGACTCTCACTGGCTAAATATGGGACAATTTGAGCATTGAAATAAATTATAATAATAATGGATTATAACCCACTGAATAAGAACCTGTAAAAAAAATTAATGTTCTGAAAGTTAGATGAGAAACAGGATATTTGCACAGTTTCAGAGCAATCCCTTCAAAATACGAATTAATTACAAAAAGAAAAGAATACAATGGAAAGCCTGGCAGACACTATCTTAAGTAATTGAAGTTAACATTACCAGTATGGGAATAACTCACCCCCCTCCACCGATATTTCTGCCAAATCACAGCCTGAAACTAATCATGAATAATCAATTATCAAATCATATTGAGGGGCATTCAACAAAATAAGTGGCCTGTCGTTTTCTAAAGTGTCAAGTTCATGAAAGTCAAGGAAAGACTAGGAAACTTCCAGACTGAAGGAAACAAAAGAGACAAACTACATGAAAAGTATGATTCTGGAGTGGGTCCTTTTGCTAAAAGGACAGTGTGGAATGGGATCTGAGATTAGATGGCAGTAATGCATCAAAGTTATTTTTCTGATTTTGATGGTTATGTTGTGACTGGAGGCCCAGTGCATAACATTCATGCCCTCGGGGGGCGGGGAGGGGCGGGTAGCAGTGGGGGAAGACCTTCAGCCTGGCCTGCACCCTTTAGCAGTCCAGGAGACCTGGGAGGATGTCCGACTGACGGCTTAGGCCTATGGGGAGTGGGCCTAAGTTGCAGTTGGACATCCTTAGCGCTTCCATGGAGGCAGGAGAGGCTCCCGCCACCGCCGCTGTGCTCACCAGCCCTCAGAGGGGTGCTCCCCCTGTGGGAATGCACTGACCACCAGGAGGCAGCTCCTGCATTGAGTGTCTGCCTACTGGTGGTCAGTGTGCATTATAGCGACGGGTTGTTCTGCCAGTTGATTTGCATATTACCCTTGTAATATATAGGATTACGTAGGAGAATGCATGCCCTTGTCTGCTGAGAACATATCCCTCATGATTATCTCTTTTGAGTTTAGTATCTGTGTGTTTAAGCTTTTATAGATGATGATTTTAAAGATAGACATGCAAATAATCTTTGGCCAGCAATCAGAAAATCTAGGCATAAGACCTGTTCTAGAGTTTGCCAGCTGTGTGAATTTGGCCAAATCACCCCCTCTGATATATCTTACTCCAGAAGGGAAGGAAGTTAATCCTTTGAGCCTCAGGCTCCTCATCTGCAAAGTTGGGGGAATAACATTTGTCACCCAGAGCTCTGATAATCAAATGAGATATGTGAAAGCACACTAAAGTTAAAGCTCTGCACAAATTGCAAAGACTTAAAATTATTTAGCTTTTGCTGAAATTTAATGTCTCTAATTCTAGGTAGTTTTGATGCTAAATATTTGCAAATGGCAGGCAGTGATATTTTGGGGGATATGTAAGTGTTTTGACAATATACAGTTAAGATTTCTATTTTAAACTTAAGAGTTTGGAAGGTTTTTTTAATGAGACCGAACAAATCTATCATGACATTAATAGTTATTGCAGTAACAATCCACAACTTAAAGCATTTTGTGTATCTTAAAGAGGGGACTCTACTTTCATACAAATAAAACTCATCTTTCATTCTGCTAAAGTTTAAAAATAAAATGTTTCATGTAAAAAATAACATTGGTTATTTTGTGGTAACATATTACCACTATTTTTGTTGTTGTTGTTGTTAATCCTCACCAAGGATATTTTTCCATTGATTTTTAGAGAGAGTGGAAGGGAGGGAGGGGGGAGAGAAAGAGAGAGAAACATTGATGTGAGAGAGACACATGGATGGTTGCCTCCCTCATGCGCTCTGACCGGCCATGGATTGAGCCTGAAACCCAGGTACATGCCCCCAACCGGGAATGGAATGCCATGAACCTTCAGTCCTCAGGCAACGCTCTATCCAGAGCCAAAGAGGCTGGAACCATTTTACCACTTTTGACAGAGGTGAAGAGTGGAAGAGATTTACTTACTCTTATTTGTAAGTATTGTGGAAGAAGGTAAAAATGAGGGGAAAGAAACGCCATTTATATAATTCAATTAACCATAATCTAGAATCTGAAGACCTCATTGGTACACCCAACACAAAGTATCCTGAAAAATTGTTTGTAAATCAAATCATATTAAATGCCATTGGAGAAATAACTGCAAATTCTTTAAAGTCCCTAATTTTATCTTTCAAAATATACATTTTTCATATATCAAGTTTTCTTAAGGTACACCTTTAATAATAGAGTTTGAATAAGAATGATCTTTCAAAATACCTTTTTTCTTTTAAATTAGCAAATGCTCTATGGAAATTTAGGTGTTTAGGCATAAAGATGTGATACCTCCTCCTCCTCAAATATTTGTTGTTTGGGCTGTGTTTAAAAATTGCTAGAGCCCTAACCGGTTTGGCTCAGTGGATAGAGCGTCAGCCTGCGGACTGAAAGGTCCTGGGTTCGATTCCAGTCAAGGGCATGTACCTTAGTTGGGGGCACATTCCCAGTGGGGGGTGTGCAGGAGGCAGCTGATCGATGTTTCTGACTATCTAGCCCTCTCCCTTCCTCTCTATAAAAAATCAATAAAATATATTTTAAAAAATTGCTAGAAATAAGCTACTATATTTGGAATCTTCAATTATAGAATTGAAGGACTGATATCTTTTCCCTAAATGAGAAGGTGGTTCTTCAGCAGACATTTTTTCTGATGAAGTGCTCCACCAATAACAGTTTCCAAATTAGCTGGCCAGTGAAAATCTATTTTGGTAACCTAAGAAACAGACAAAAACTTGCATTTGTGGTACAGCAAAGGTTTTACATGGGTTTTGTGATGTGTTGATAAGAGGAACACCACCTAAAATTCCAATGGAAATATGTTGTGTCATTTTCCGAAAAAGACTTCTCTTGAAAAGGTTAATTGTTTGAAACACCTAATGTAGAAACAATGCTGACTAGATTGCAACTATATGAAACAAAAGGACAGACATATTTAATATCCATCCTAAAATATTTATTTTGTTCATTGTGGGAAATGCCTATTAAACCAATTGAGAGGGGTGTTATTTTATTTTAATAGAGGAAATAAAACAAGTTCACCTTTTTTTTTTTTTTTTTAAGAAAATTTCAGGTGCTAAGAAAAACAAAGAAATTAGCTTTGTCACCAGGTTTGTTTCTGCCTCTAATGTAGTTATCTGAACTTTCAAGTATTGTTCTCTCATTAAAATTTAGAGGCAGTTAAGTAATGAGGAAAAAGAGCAATACTACAGAAAGTAAAGTTTAGGACTTTGAAATAGTCCTCCCATGGAACTAAATTCAACAGATTTTAATAAAAAAATCAATGACTTAACTCTGATATTGAAGAAAAAATTCAGGCTGTTTCAAGTAGACCAGAAAAGCTTTCTACAGTAGAGGGATATTCCTGGTTTCAACATTTCCTTTTTTGTATTTGGAGTTATAAATTTCATTCTCTAACATGCTTCTCAAGCAAGTACTATCTAGGCTCACCTTCCTAATTTAGTCTTTTTTTGTAACTCTCCCTGCATTTTAAATAATGTATGATTTCCAAGGTGACTTTAAAGTATATAACTTCTCACTTAGCATGTGGCTGTTTTGCTTTTATTATGTTACTTGTGGGATGACAGGTGAGAGCATAGTCTTTGCTGACAAAATGTTTAGCAGAGAGAGACAGGAATATGACAAAGTTCAGCAAATGCTAAAGGTTGGCCCATAAAGAAAGGTTTATGGGCGCAAGTAGTGTCCCTGGAAAAGGAAAAGGTGGCAGGCCATGCCGTAGTAATTATGTGCTTCAAATAATAGCATTCATACACATTTGAGTAGGTAGAATTGGTTGATGTAAGAAAAATTAGTGGAAATGCAAATCGTTCGGAATGGGCCCAAAGTATTGGAATAAAGATAAGGATACGCTGAAACAACAGTACACAGACACACGTGCTCACATTATTTTTCAGTTTAGTTTCTTATATTTTCCTCTCCTGACTCCACAGCAGCACATGGGTTACAGGGGTCTAGTAGATCCAGCTATGAAGTCTATGCTACTCAGAAAATAAATGGCTAGCAATAAATGGCTTATGCATCCATGAACAATGAGGGCTTTAGAAGCAAACATATGTCAGACACCAAGGATCATAACGAGAAATGATACAGTAGACGTTCACAGACTTGATTCTAAACCTAGTCCTAACTTGATTACATGGTGGTTTTCATCACCTCCATACACACCCTCACGCATCCAAAATCGTCCAGTTCGGCTGCATCACAGAGTCTAACATGGTAACATGTCCAGGAGATGGCACAGGAAGAAGTGGCTGGAGGCCATGAGAGTCTGGGCACCATAGTCTTTGGAGACTGTGTCTCTCTGAAGAAGGCCCTTCCATTGTCAGGCTTAGCTGGAACTCATTCCCTTGGAGGGAGAAGACGGTGCGACTCGTCAGAGCTGGAGGAGAGGTGGTGGAGAAGCCACTCCCCTCCTCTCGTTGAAGCATTTTAAACGGCATTCAGGCGGATGTCCCCACAGGGAATTTCTGTTGGTGTTTCTGGAGTGATACTTTTAATAATACGCTGCGGGGAAGAAAATAGGTTGTTATAAACATTCTTGTGATTTAACAGTACAGAAAAGATATTCCAACATTAATATTACAACAAAGTTTAAATAGCATTTTAATGGCATTTAATACTATGTTGGAATAGTCTCAAAGGAATTCCTAATTTATTCATTCCCAAGGGTGAATGGAAATGGAATATTTGGGAGTTACAGGCATCTGTAAACTAATTATGAAAGTCATTATATCACTCAAGGGAGAAAATGGGCCTTCAATAGAACTCTGCTGGCCTATAACATGCTTTTGAAGACCTAGGAAAACGCATCTTTTTCTCTGGAAGGAGGAGGTTTCATGTGGCCACAGGGCTCGGGGAGCAGAGTGAGTGCTGGGTCCTGGCGCCCTCCTGCCCTCAGCCCTGCGTACACACTACAGGCAGAGCCATCAGCCATGTCACAGCCAGGATGTTACTGATTTAATGAATCCACCTGTAAAGGCATACTGGTCAGTTCAAACCAGGGTGCAACTCATCACGTAATTTACATTTTAAAAGATGTGACCATTGAAATCACCCCTAAAGTCATCTCATTCTGACATAGTCCTCATCACGGGGGGGAAAGCTGAGAACTTTTGCATTAGAAACAGCTGAGGTACACAGAAGCTTCAAGACAGATCTGAAATATGCTTGGGCTTGTGTAGACAGCTTGCAGTAGACAGCTCGCCTGTAAAAGCATCAGGGTGACATGAAGCAGCTCAGGGAGGCGGCAGAGGGAAAACAGCAGCGCTGCAGAGGCTTAGAAAAATCTCTATGAAGTTGCTTCGTAAAATCTGTGATGGCAAAGTCTGACCACCGTAAGCAGGCAAAATTGGATCCGAACACCTTTTTTGATTGACTGATTTTAGGAGAAGTTCTACTAGTTGTCCTCTGTATTTTGGATTAAAAAGAACATAGTCCATGGCCCTGGCCTGGCAGCTCAGTTGGTTAGAGGGTCATCCTGATACACCAAGGTTGAAGGTTCGATCCCTGGTCAGGGCACATACAAGAAACAACCAATGAATGCATAAATAGGTGGAACAACAAATCGATGTTCTCTCTCTCTCTCTCTCATCAATAAATACTTTTTTTTAAAAAAGTACATAGTTCCCCTCAATCTTGTTTATTTCCTGGTTCTAGAAGTTCTTTGATGAGCAGGGCCTATGGAATTCAAAAAGTGCCATTCTCATAGTTAATGAAATTCACAAAATTGTACATGTTGTGTTCCTCATGATCTTAATATTCAAATACTGAAGCCTCACCCAGGAAACCCATTTAAAAAGGAATTCCTGAAGTGTCTATCAGCGGCTTTGAAATGTGAAGTTATAGAAAGCAACATTTCTCAAACCATCCTTCCCCGCAGATGAACGTGTAACCCGATTACACAGAAGTATGTAAGCCAATTAAATGGAATATGTAACCTGATTACACAGAATTATATCTTGCTAATTCGGAACTGGGCACAGATCACTCTAGTCTTAAGTGTTGCACAGAAAGAGAAGAAAGCACTGAGGTGTACGGTGAACCACATTGCACCCGGGCCCCCACCGACCTATTCAGCTGCCCCTCTGGCTGCTGATTCCCCCAGTCTGCCAGGCCCACCCTTGTTTTCATATTTCGGCAGCAGTTCAGTGGCCAGACTATGACTCAGAATTTGCCAGCCCTGGCCTTCTGTAAGGTGCTCATCTAAGAAATGGATCACTGTTGGGTGCTTACTCATCAGGGACCAGTATCTTGTGCAGAGTACCAGGGGCTTCTGTGAATGACCTAATTGAGTTGATGACGCCAACCTTGAGACTTCCACCTACAGGTGAATGTGATATCCTCCAAATTACAGGTGGGCAAGTGGTGGCTCCACAAACTCCAACCTGGTGTATGGCCGGGGCCCACAAGAGTTAAGAAACTTACCTTTCTCTCAGTCTTTATGTTGTTGTTGTTTTTTTACCATATTAACATTTCATATGCAGCCTCCCTCCCTCATAGAAAGAATGTTATAGATCAGTGATGGCGAACCTATGACACGTGTGTCAGAGGTGACACGCGAACTCATTTTTTTGGTTGGTTTTTCTTTGTTAAATGGCATTTAAATATATAAAATAAATATCAAAAATATAAGTCTTTGTTTTACTATGGTTGCAAATATCAAAAAATGTCTATATGTGACACGGCACCAGAGTTAAGTTAGGGTTTTTCAAAATGCTGACACGCCCAGCTCAAAAGGTCCGCCATCACTTACAGATCATCAAGTATGGTATTCACGAATAATTACCGTCCCTTGGTGTTCTTGGCAAAAAAAAAAACAAAAAAAAACAAACAACAGGACATGCTTTATTGCTCTCGGAGACATTAAATGCATCTCTTAGTGGGCATGTTAAAGCTTTTGGGAAGTCCTGCAGTAAAGAAACCTATTCAACTTGCCTTGATCCAGCATTCTCCAAAACTTTTTGACTACATAAAAAATTTCCCCCCTGAAGTAATGCCTATTGATAAGCCATGGAACGATTGATCCTTACAATATATTAACATTTGGGCCTCGCTGGCCTGGCTCAGTTATTGAGCATCAACCTATGAACCAGGAGGTCACAGTTCGATTCCCAGTCAGGGCACATGTTCGGGTTGTGGGCTCCATCCCCAGTGTGGGATATAGAGGAGACAGTCGATCAATGATTTTTTTTCTCATCATTGATGTTTATATCTCTCTCTCCCTCTCTGAGATCAATAAAAATATATTTTCAAAAAATATTAACATTTGGGAAATGTTAATCCAGTCCGACGAGCACATTTTAAGGCCACGAGAAGGTTAATAACTTGCCCTAGCTGAGCAGGTCTTCTCCCTCCCAGTCCTCCTTGACTGGTAACTCACTCTTCCCTCTCTGGTGGCCTCTGGCGAAGGTGGCCCTACGACCAGCCTTACCTCTGCCACTGACGGATCTGAGCTCTGTTAAGTATACACCTTTGGGTGGCATATCCTTGTGGCTAATGGGGAATTTGCAAGAAAGATGACCAAGATTTGAGTCTGTGCCCAAAGAATACTGACATTTATTAAACTGACCTTGGCCTCTGGGTTTGAATCAATAGAGCCAAGGGACCCTCACAGCTGCCATAAAGGACAACCTGAAGAAACAAATTCAATGATTAGGTCTGATCATGTGTTTCAAGCAACACCAGAGTTCAAGGCCCTTGGGAGGAATGAGATGTGACAGGACAGGGTTGGGTGTAGGAGATTAGTAACTCCTTACAGAGTTCTGTTCGCCGAGAGTTCAGTTTCCCTACTTGGACAAAGCAATGAACTCAGTTCTCAGGAAGGGCTGATGCTTAATTGCCTCATGTTTCTTAGAAGGCGTTTTAGGGAGATGAGTGCGTTGGTCTCATGTTTGGGTTTTGCTTCTTAGGGCCCAGAGACCAGCCCATCTGTTTTCAGCTCATTATGGAGTACCACCTCTTCTAGCTTTCCCCAAATACCACTCTTCCCCTTTGAGCTTATCCCCTACAAGAGCACCCACCTACGGACTTGGAAGCGACCTGAACTACTAATTCTACAACATAGGATTAAAAAAGTGGCAACTCACCTCTCCCTAACCTCTAGCTCCAATTTCTACATCAGCAAACTATGAGAGGGCAAAGTGAAGACAAAAGAGAAGCTGCAACTAAAGGGAGAGCATGGGACCAAGAATCAGGAGCCTTCCCTGACCGGTTTGGCTCAGTGGATAAAGCGTCGGCCTGCGGACTCAAGGGTCCCAGGTTCGATTCCGGTCAAGGCATGTACCTTGGTTGCAGGCACATACCCAGTAGGGGGATGTGCAGGAGGCAGCTGATGGATGTTTCTCTCTCATTGATGTTTCTAACTCTCTATCCCTCTCCCTTCCTCTCTGTAAAAAAATCAATAAAATATATATTAAAGAAAAAATTTTGTATATTGCCCCAGGCACCACTGATTTGATGCCAATGGCAAGCAGGAGGCAAAGGAGTTATCTGGTAGTTTAGGACACTGCCTACACCCCACGCTGTACACCATGCTGCTCCCAAATGACCAGCTCCTTCCTTCACTGTTGATTTGAGGGTTATGGGAAATGCCTTAAGAGGACAGTGGCAGCCGTGTGAGGTCTACATGGTGTAAGCTATCTATAATAATAAAAGGGTAATATGCTAATTAGACCGGATGTCCTTCCAGGCGTCATTCCAGACGAAGCTGGGGCTGGAGGGAAGCGGTGCCGGCAGCCGGGGGAAGGAAGGCCTACTCTTGCACGGATTTTCGTGCATTGGGCCTCTAGCATAAATATATAAGGTGAATTTCATGTGGTGGACTTATCTCCTTTGAATAGATCATAATAAGAGAATCCTTTTCTCCCCAAACAATTGCCAGTCTGCACACACACACTCACACACACACACACACACACACACACTAGCGAGCACACACCTCCTTCAGTGTCCCTGGAGTGATGATCAGCCGGTAGGTGATGTATGTGGGGATGCAGATGAAAGACGAGGTTCCGATGCAGTAGCCCAGGACGATGCTCCAGGGAGGGTAAGTATACTGGAAAAGTCGCAGCTGTGGCGGGCTCATCAAAAAGCTGCAAATGATGAACTAAAACAGAAATCCCAAGAAACATTAAAAATCTTAACGATATCTGTGCAACCAGACCCAGTTCTGATACCACGAACACCAAAGGTAAAGCTAAGATACTTTCAGGAAGTTCCCAAACTGTGCGCAGTATCTTAGCTTGAACTCTGACACACTAAATGCACCAATTCCTGTGCCTAATTTACTGCAAAATAAAACAGCCAGGTGCTTATCTTGACTTTCCTCCCAACCCCCTCCCCCCCCACCTCAACCTCTACACTGAGAGTCTACGGTGATGATGTGAGGTTTATGGGATGGGAGTCTGGGTGTCAAGGCCTCAGAATGTTATTTAAGGGAGTGACAGCACCCCTTCGGGGCAAAGGGGAGGAGATCAGCCGACACCAGAAGTGGTTTGGGCTCCTCTTATCAGACGGGGGAGGAATAAGGGGGAGGAATAAGTGGTGTGACCGCTCCACGGCCCCTGCCACCCCGGCTCCTGGCAGCCCGGGGACCTCCTGTTCCCCTCCGCTTTGCTCCCATGTCCTCCTGCCTTCCTCGGCTGCGGTGGTTTTGGTTGGATAGAAGGGACCTATGTCCAGGAGAGAGAATGAGGTTCCTGGGTCTGTGCTCCTTCTCTCCCCTGCCCCAGGGCTCTCTGCTTCCTGCATTAAGCGCCTTAGCTGGGGTCGCTACAAGGCTGGCTGTGCCCCCGTACATCCCAACAAGGAATGCCTGCCTGCCACAGGCCCCCGTAATGAAAGGGATAATGGAAGGAAAAAGCAGCCTAATCTACTTTCTCCTTGAAAATTCAGTGAAGAATTTGAGCAAGAAAAATTCCACGGTGTGCTCCCAACACTCGGGTTATGCGTTTTCTTATTTCAGTTTGGTTTCCAGAGAGAGTGTAAGTATCGGTTTTTGCCTAGTAACCACTGTGGCCAAATACTTATTGCTCTTGATTTAATTTTATTTTATTTCATAGTCATAAAGAAGACAGTAATGTAAATTACTTGTGTGGTTAAACATCTATTTATATCTCTTTTTTTCTTTGTCTGCAGGTAATAAAATGGGAAATTGTTAAACACACATCCATCTTCTGAGCAGTGTTATCCTAAGCCCAGGAGGAAGCTTTCAAAACAGGAGCCCCGCCAACTGCAAACCTTTCTCTGGACTTACTCTCCTCACTCCAGACATGGCTACTAAGGAGGGTAGTTTTGGAACAGGGAAGGGGGCGGGGGTGGGGGGGGTGTCTGGTTAGGAACCATTCCTGCTGTGACTCCTCTCATCTTGACGTCATGTGTGAAGTCCAGTGCAGCTCAGGGAGGCCTCACGCCTTTGTTGTGGCCAGGAGGCGTTGTTTCAGACACCCCTTTGCACGTCCCAGCCTCGCCCCTTTGCACGTCCCAGGCTCTCCTTGCTCAAAGACAATATTTTCTTTTTTTGTAACTTGGCTTCAGTGACAAAGATTATTTTTAGTAAGCTACTCATTGTTTACCTAAAGCAGCCTTATAAAGCCCAGAGCAGGGGATCTGTTTAAGTAAACCCAGAAGTGGAAGACAGATGTGCCTCCTCTTCACCGTGCCCCAGAGCACTTGCCTCTACAGGACACGAGGAAAGCGAGCATCACAGGAATTATGAGTAATGTGTCTGAAGCCAGATCTGCACGTAGGTGTTGCTGGACAGCAAAACACACAGGAGTTCGCCCGGTCCGCCCAGACACCCAGCAGTTCACAGAAATGAAAACAATAAAAGCCTGGGGCCAGGGTCAGTTTGAGATGCGAGGCACTCACCTCGGGCACAACACTTCAGGGGCCAAAATGTCAGGAGTCAAGCTAAGTAATATCTGAGCGCAGTATGTTACAAAGACAGGATCTGACACGGCCGGATTAGGGCGAGAGAGTGAGCTAAGTCATCCCAGTGCAGGGTTGGATCCTGTCTCTATTTTAAATGTTGATATTTTGTTCATCAGGGATTGTTTGGGGCATTAACTTCAGGTTTTTAAAAAAATATTGCATTAAAATAGCATTTACAGCCCTGGCCGGTGAGGCTCAGGGGTTGGAGCATAGGCCCGTGCACCAAAGGGTCTCAGGTTCCGTTCCCAGTCAAGGGCATGGGCCTGGGTTGCAGGTTCAATTCCTGGCCCCAGTTGGAGCATGAGTGGAAGGCAACCAATTGATGTGTCTCTCTCACATTGATGTTTCTCTCTTTCTCCCTCCCTCCCTCTTTCCCTTCCACTCTCTTTAAAAAAAACCCAATGGAAAAAATATTCTCAGGTGAGGATTAACAAAGAAAAAATAGCATTTATTTTTATTGCTGAGATTTTGGGTGCCCCCTTAAATTTTATGTCCGTGTTGAGTGCCTCGGTTGCCCCTCCCAAATGTCAGCCCTGGACATCATTTCCTGCCTGTGTGGGGACTGCTGAAGCAAACAAACAAACACGACTTCTTCCCTCAAGAAACGAATCCAGTGTCTCCTTCCTTTGAAAAACAAATGAAAGGATTTAAGTAGATTACAGAGAAGCACTGGTAATAACGTAAATGAATAACCCATTTATGTCAGGATTCGACTTCTAGTAATGTCAGGCAGGTGATTCAGACCAACCCTCTCGCTGGAAACAACTACCGTTTCTGAATTCTAAAATGGATATGTTTCTAATGTATCGAAAAGCGACAAGAAGTTGGTAAGGCAACAAGGAACGACCGGGCCAGGGTCTAGGGGACCCTGGAGCCCAAAGCCCACGCCAGAGCCGCCTGGCGTTCCTGCTGCTCGGCTGGCCCAGGTGTTGGAAACCTCGAGGAGGAATTCTGGGGAGAGGCATGGGCAGTGTTGAGAAGGCCAGGTGAGCATGCTGTCCATCTCACAGACTAATGTGTTGTACAAAAAGTACAGAATAAAGGGCTTCCCTGAGAAAATCAAAACAGATCGCAAAGAGGGCTGTTTTCAAAGAGGAGGAAGGCACAGCCGTGTGCCAAAGGCAGAGACGTCCTAAGGACAATGGATGGCCCAGACGCTGCTAATAAGCTGGAGCTTATTAGGTAGGAAGTCTACCGTAATAACGTTTCCGGCGCTAACGGTAGACAAGCTCCCCCTTCCCAAATAAACCTACAGGTACACGAAAGACCAGGACAGCAGTCCCTGCCGATGTGCACGGCGTGGCTTCCCCCCAGGCCACCTCCGAGTGCACGTGGGGTGCTAGCAGGTGCTTTCCGTCGCTGGGCAGACATCTCCTCCAGACGGACACCAGGGAAGCGCAGGGCACCTGCAGCAAAGATGCTGTGGCCACCGAACACGTCCTGGCAAATGGGCAACGGCTGATCCCAAATGTTCTCATCCAGCTCCTTCGGCAATAAGTAGATTCTACTTTGGATTCAGGTCATACCGGAGGACCTGCGTGGGGGCGTCTTTAAGAAAATGGACACAAGCCTGGCCGGCGCGGCTCAGTGGCTGAGCATCAACCTACGAACCAGGAGGTCACTGTTCAATTCCCTGTCAGGGCACATGCTCAGGTTGTGGGCTTGATCCCCAGTGTGGGGCGTGCAGGAGGCAGCCAATCAGTGACTCTCTCATCATTGAAGTTTCTATCTTCACTCCCTCTCCCTTCCTCTCTGAGATCAATAAAAATATATTTTTTTAAAAAAGAAAAGAAAATGGACATAAAACCACTAGGACCCTGCCCAGGGCCTCGTGAGCAGCCCAGTAAAGCCTTCCCTGGCCTTGAACAGTTCTTAATTGTCATGTGACCTCAAACCCTTTACTTAACATCTCTAAGCCTCAATTTTCTTTAAATGTAAATTGGGGTATTAGAGCTATACTACCTCACAGAATTGTAGTGAGGATTAAAAGTAATACCACGTCTGGCCTGGTGCTTACTGTTCAATAAACGTTGTTTATCATGATCCCTGAGCTGGGAAGGAAGCAATAAGGTGACCGAGGCCTGGATGACGCTATGGTGTTGGAAGTCAGAAGAGTGGTTAGCCAGGCTGGGCACGGTGACTGGGAGGGGACACAGAGGGGCTTCAGCTCATTGCTTTTCTTCTTGGTATGGTTTTGGCTACAAAAATGTGCTCCCTCTATAATAGTGCATGGCATGTACACTTACAATTTGGACCCTTTTCTGTGTATGTTTCACTTCGATATGATTTATTTCCTGTAAGTGTTTGAGTGGGTCTTTCTCCAGGGCAGGAAGGAGAAGGGAAATCACAACTCACCAGGAGAAACAGAGGGCTGATGACCACCCAGCAGATCCTCCAAAACCATCCGGGACTGAAGCCCAGCATCTCCTTCACGTCGCTGCAGAACTGGGTGATGCCTGCAACCAGCCAGGGGGAGAGAAAGAGAGACTCATCACTGCAAGAGGACGCGGGCTGTCCGGTCCCTCAGAGAGAGAAGCCACCATGAAATATCCCGTGAGGGGCTCAGGGCACCAATCTGGGCTGAAAGTGGGACAGAGGGACTTGTCCCAGAATTGCATTTCAGAGCAAGCAACGTTCTTTCTACATAGAGTAGGCTGGGTAGGGGGACCGCTGGGGAGAGGCCTAAAGCCCCCTCCTGGTGCCCACACGGCCTTTCTTCTTTTTTTTCATCTTTATTGGGGTTTTTTTTGTTTTTGTTTTTGCTTAAAGTATTACAAAGGGTATTACATATGTGTCCTTTTTTTTCCCCCCGCCCTTGACAATCTCCTGGCCTCCCCTACCCGCCAGTGTCTTATGTCCATTGGTTATGCTTATATGCATGCATACAAGTCCTTCGGTTGATCACACTGCCTTTCTAAGATCTCAGCATACATGTTATTGCATTGGTACTATGGAAAAGGAAGTTACGTTTTAGTTTGGAATGACGAACCCGCTCAACAGAGACTGACTTGGACCTTGTGACCATGTACGGGAAACTTCCAAGAGAACATTTTAACCACAGCACAGCCCAGCCCCCTGTCAGAGCACCATCAAGGTTCTTCTGTCAAAGTAAACTGGCATGGAAGTGAGAAGTGAGACCCCGGCTGGTGAGAAATCGAAAAGGGGCAGGAAGGGTGCCCTGTGCTGGCTTCCCTGAGAGAGCCTGGCAGTACCTCGGGCAGGTCTAGAATGGTGCTCACACTTGAACTTTGTCATCTGAATTGCCGAGGAGGTGGGGAGGACTTCTTTTTAAAAAAAACTGGACTCATGTGCAACACAAAACATGCCCCCCCTTCATATCTATATATATAAAACCCTAAGCAACTGGTCAACCATTTGACCAGTTGCTATGACCACCAGGGGGCAGACGCTCAAGGCAGTGTTAGTGTACTCTGACAGGGGGAGCACCGCTCAGCAAGCTTACTGAGTGGCAGTGGGGCCAGGATGAGCGGGAGTGGTGCGGTGCCCGGCCCAGGCTCAGGCTCCTCCACGGCCACCTGCCGCTTCGCACACTACATCCCTTGGGGGATGTCGAACTGCCGGTTTCGGCCCGAACCCTGGCCAGCCTATGAGGATCAGCCCAAAACCGGCAGTCTAACATCCCCCGAGGGGTCCCGGATTGCGAGAGGGTGCAGGCCAGGCTGAGGAACCCCACCAGTGCACGAATCCGTGCACCAGGCCTCTAGTTATACATAATGACAAACACACTAAAGCTGTTTTATTATCATAGGAACTAGGAAAATAAACACATTTTCAGAATGAGTTCGTCTCTTCTGGACTTTAAAGATAAAGAGAGACATCCCTGGACCTGGTTGTCTTCACTCTGATTGCCTGTGCCCTCCCCAGCCCCACGCAGGGGCTCCTGGGACTCCTGCCGGGGGACCCAGGTGAGCTCACTGGGTGTGCTCCTTCCCAGTGGTTTCATCCTTATCAGATTCCATCCCAGTACCTGAGGCGGTTTCTCCAGGGCAGATCATCCAAACAGGAACATTCTTGCCTCCTCCCCAGAAGATAAACTCCTAACCCCTGCCTCCGGACTCTGCGGGGAGCTCTTGCTTGCGAAATGTAAGCTGAGGGCTGCTCTCTGTGACAGTGAAATATGGTCCCTGCAAATGCCTTCACCGGGCCCTGGGTCTCTGTGTTCCGCCCAGTTCTCACCGCCAGTCAGGATGGTAAGCATCCACTGTGGGTGAGCTGCAGGGACCGCTTCAGCCTGTCTCCACCGGGTAAACATTTCAACTCAGAGGGAAGCCCTAGCCCATTTGGCTCAGTGGATAGAGCGTCGGCCTGTGGACCAAAGGGTCCCCGGTTCACTTCCAGTCAAGGGCACGTACCTCGGTTGCAGGCTCCTCTCCAGCCCTGCTCAGGGCTTATGTAAGAGGCAACCAATCAATGTGTTTCTCTCACAACGATATTTCTCTCTGTCTTTCCCTCTCTGTAAAAATCAATGCAAAAATATCCTTGGGTGAGGAAGTAAGTAAGTAAATAAATAAATAAAATAAACTCAGAGGGAAAAAACATCCTCCCCAGGTAAATGCGACCTGCTGTGCGAGGGTGGCGGAGAGGAGGGCCTGTTTCTGAGGAAGGCACTCACCTGAGCTTATCTCACAGACCCACCAGGAGGTGACATCTCTCACCCTCCCCCCCCCCGCCCTTTGGTGAAATCAGCCCTTCCCCAGTCTGGTGGCTACGGGCTGACAGAGACAGGACTGTGGCTGGTGGAAGGAAGCATCTTACCGTAGAACCAGAACACAGCCATCGCTTCTATCAGGGCCACGGTGAGCACGGCGGGCCCCGTGGCGTACTCCTCCAGCAGCTTCACCACGTAGGCCCCGCCCTGCAAAGGCGAGCAGGCCCTGGTCAGGGGTCGCCTGAGGCATCGCCTCCTCTTTACCAGAGGGGCCTCAACGAAGGATCATTCTGGGGAGTCCCACCGTGGACCTAATATAAGGGCCTCAGGGTGGACCAGATTCCACCCCTCGAGGCCTCTCCCCTCCCAGTGGAGTGCCCCCTTCGTGTTTCCTCTCGCACTAAGTTTTAAGAAACAAACTCGAAACCAAGATGGCGGCATAGGTAAACACCGGAGATTGCTGCCTCACACAACCACTTCAAAAATACAACTAAGAGACGGAACGGACATCACCCAGAACCACAGGAAGGCTGGCTGGGTGGAAATTCCACATCTAGAAGGAAAGAGAAAAGCATACCGAGACTCAGAGGAGGCGCAGTGTGGAAGTGAAATACTAAGGGGCAGAGGTGCGCGCAGAGCGGGCTGGCGGCTGAGGGCACGGTTGTCTGTTTCAATCGGGAGGGAGTCTCAGGCTCTGAGCTCCAGTTCCAGGACCCAGACTCAAATGGGAGAAGAGGGACTGTCTGGCATCAGTCGGAACTCGAGGGCAGCTTTCTCTCTGAGGTTTGCAGCGGTTGCTGGGACACTGAGAGGCAGAGCCTCTGGGGACGGGACTGAGAGCAGCCATAACTGCTCGCTCCACCTGCCCTGTTGATCCCCTGGGACCCGCCCCGCCCAAGCCCTGCACAGAGGCATTTGTGGGATAGCCTCAGGCAAAGGCTAGATTAGCACTTCCCTAGAGGACAGAAGTTCTCCCACTGCAGGCACAGCTGATTCTCACAGCCAGTTGGCCTGGAAGTCAAATCCTCCCAGTGTTACCTACAACAATCAAGGCTTAGCTACAACAAGACTGCGCACAAAGACCACAGGGGGATGCACCAAGAGTGTCTACCTCAAGTAATTGGGACACTTAGCACAGAAAGCCACTCTATCGACACAGCAAAGCATAAAAAATGCTGAGACAAAGAAACAGGACACAAATGACAGAACTGGAGGAAAGCAGGCTGCTGGATATAGAATTCAAAACCACACTTTTGAGGTCTTTCAAGAGTCTTCTAGAGACTGCCAATAAACTTAATGAGATCTACAAGAAATTTAATGAGACCCTCGATGTTGTGATAAAGGACCAACTAGAAATTAAGCATACACTGACTGAAATAAAGAATATTATACAGACCCCCAACAGCAGACCAGAGGAGCACAAGAATCAAGTCAAAGATTTGAAATGCGAAGAAGCAAAAAAGACCCAACCAGAAAAGCAAAATGAAAAAAGAATCCGAAAATACGAAGATAGTGCAAGGAGCCTCTGGGACAGCTTCAAGTGTACCAACATCAGAATTATAGGGGTGCCAGAAGATGAGAGAGAGCAAGATATTGAAAACCTATTTGAAGAAATAATGACAGAAAACTTCCCCCACCTGGTGAAAGAAATAGACTTACAGGTCCAGGAAGCGCAGAGAACCCCAAACAAAAGGAATCTAAAGAGGACCACACCAAGACACATCATAATTAAAATGCCAAGAGCAAAAGACAAAGAGAATCTTAAAAGCAGCAAGAGAAGAAACTCAGTTACCTACAAGGGAATACCCATACGACTGTCAGCTGATTTCTCAACAGAAACTTTGCAAGCCAGAAGGGAGTGGCAAGAAATATTCAAAGTGATGAATATCAAGAACCTACAACCAAGATTACTTTATCCAGCAAAGCTATCATTTAGAATTAAAGGTCAGATAAAGAGCTTCACAGATAAGGAAAAGCTAAAGGAGTTCATCACCACCAAACCAGGATTATATGAAATGCTGAAAGTTATCCTTTAAGAAGAGGAAGAAGAAGAAAAAGGTAAAGATACAAATTATGAGCAACAAATACGCATCTATCAACAAGTGAATCTAAGAATCAAGTGAATAAATAATCTGATGAACAGAATGAACTGGTGATTATAATAGAATCAGGGACATAGAAAGGGAATGGACTGGCTATTCTTGGGGGGGAAAGGGGTGTGGGAGATGCGGGAAGAGACTGGACAAAAATTGTGGGTGGGGAGTGAGGGCGGAAGGTGGGGTGGGAACTGGGAGGAGGCGAGTTTTGGGGGGGAAAAAGAGGAACAAATGTAATAATCTGAACAATAAAGATTTAATTTTTTAAAAAAAGAAACAAACAAACAAACTCAAAAGGGCCTTGATCTGTTTTCAACTTTCTTCAATTTACCGAGCACCTACTGTATATACTCTACCTTAGAGAATCCCGGTCCCTAAAGACTGAATCTGGGCCCTGCCGGTGTGGCTCAGTGGTTGAGCACCGACCTATGAACCAGAAGGTCACGGTTCGATTCCCGGTCAGGGCCCATGCCCGGGTTGTGGGCTTGATCCCAGTGAGGGGCGTGCAGGGGGCAGCCCAGCGATGATTCTCTCTCATTATTGATGTGTCCACCTCTCCTCCCTTCCTCTCTGAATCTGGGAGATCACACAATGCCAGACCCACTGAGTACATGGGTCACACCTTCCGCCCTAACTCATCGGTCCCTCGGGTCCTGCTCAGGCTCCCAGCACCCTATCGAAGCTCCACAGACACTGGGTCGTGGCTTGAAGATTCATATCAGCAAAATCTGCCTTGAGACAGGACACAAGCTTAGGAAATCTGTGGGTACTTATCTGATGTCCGTTTTTACAGTATTTGCTTCAGCTACAAAAAAAAAAAAATATATCACTGGAGGGGATCTGACATCTTCACCATTGCACGTTCTCTGGAGGAGACCAGGTGACATTGCAAACCTGAGACGCCAGCCTCCAGGTGCTCTGCACATCCGGGCATCAGGGCAATATTGCCACGAAAGCAGCCCAAAGGGCTGGGAATACACTGGAAAAGCAAATCTTCGTTTCTCTCCAGATGTGCTGCCACGCCTGGAATCTAGTTGGAGTGACTGGAACATGCCAAGAGTCTCCAGATTCTACGGACAGATGCCACTAGAAACAACTTTTCTATTTATCTTTGATGACAAGCTTTTTTTTTTTTTTTAAATATATTTTATTGATTTTTTACAGAGAGGAAGGGAGAGGGATAGAGAGCCAGAAACATCGATGAGAGAGAAACATTGATCAGCTGCCTCCAGCACACTCCCCACTGGGGATGTGCCCACAACCAAGGCACATGCCCTTGACCGGAATTGAACCTGGGACCCTTGAGTCCGCAGGCCGACGCTCTATCCACTGAGCCAAACCGGTTAGGGCAGATGACAAGCTTTTTATAAGCCTCCCCCTCTCCCCCTCTTTGGCCCCAAAGCCAGGGCACCATGTGGGATGGAAGGAAAGGAATGGCTTCTTGGAGTGTTCGTCCTCCCGCCCTCGGGGAGCTGACTCAAAGCCGAGGGGTGGGATACTCACAAACGTCAGGGTGAACAGGGACCCGAAGAAGCAGGTCACGACCACACCGAGCACCAACAACTCCCGGCGCTTGGACCAGATGTGCGGAAACTCATCCAGCACCGCCGTGATCACCCCCTCCAAGCCTGCAAACTGAGGGGGACGCACACATGGTCACAGGGGCGGCTTCGGCACCAAGCTGTCACCTCCAGGACGGTGAACGGGAGGGCGGGGTTAAGACCGGCGAGGGACCCGGTAAGCTGCTCAGGATCAGCAGCCCTCACTGCAACTACCTTTTCCTGTTTACAGTCCTTCAGAGCCCATCCCTGAGGACATGAGGAAGGAAAACACAGCACGTGGAGAGGACTTCTTAGGGGAGGTCTCTTGGGGAGCCTTTGGCTGCACCAGAAACGCCAACTCAAAGCCCAGACTCGTCCACGCTAAGTGCAAGGCCCGGAGCCGGATGTGGGCGGCAGGGCACTGAGACGCAGGCGACCTTGCCCTGGCCTTTTGCCGCTGCCATCAGGTCATGGGACCGTGCACAGTGATAGCAGCTCACATAGGCTGAGCCCCTGGCCCGTGGATATACACCCAGTCACCCCATCCATGACTCTCTAAGGTACTAGAGGGCAGTAAGCACAGTCAATGCGGAGTGAATTAAAGGCTGGGGGGGCACCAGGAGGGGGCAGCCAACACCACCTGGTGGGGGGTGGGGGGGGGGGGGCGGGGGGGAGGGGGCGAGGGGAGGCCAAGATGGGAGGGAACAGGTACAACTTCCTCTTTCCACTCACCTTCCTCCACCCCCACCTTTCCCCCCTCCTCTCCGTCCTTCCCTCCCCATCCACTCACCGTGCTATCCAAGCCCAGTGTGATCAACATCAAGAAGAAGATGATGGCAAAGAAGGTGGACGCGGGCATGTTGGCGATGGCTTCTGCGTACGTGATGAAGAGGAGGCTGGGGCCTGAGACAGAGGGGGAGGGGGAGCCCATAGTGTATTCAAGGCCCCGGTCCGGGGTGTCCAGGGAGCTGCCCCACACCCACCATGGCCTGAACACCGGGAAAGGGTTGAGATCTCCAAGGCATTACATTTCTTTAAGATCTTTGAAAAATTAAACAAAATTAAACATTTAGAAATCATTCAAATGTTAGATATTGAAAAGGTCCAAAGAGCAGCAAAGCAATTCCATGGGAACAAGGGACCTGAACAGAACGAGGCCCCACCTGCGTCTTTGGCCACCTCGGACACATCTTCCTTCCGCATCTCAGCCATGTAGCCAAGCACCGTGAAAATGACAAATCCCGAAACGAAGCTCGTCATGCAGTTCACCAGGCTGGTCACCAGGGCGTCCCTGCAGCAGAAAACCCAAGGGGGCTGAGACATGTCCAGGTCAGGAGTCTGAGGAGCGTCTGTCTCGGGATGCGGCAAGGGCGAGCGGGTAGAGCTCACGGGGACGTCGAGCCCGACCTGGTGTCCCTTCCCCCTCCCAGCGCCCGGCCTCTCAGACTGTTGGACCAGCCGTGAAGCACAAGCTGCCCTTATCATCACGCGTGGCAGGGAGGACAGCTGGTCAGGGTGATTTTAAAATGCCGCCCTGATGTGAACCAGCACAGCACAGACCTCGGTTTCAAACAAGGTTTGCTCTGAAGCAGGGCCTGGGTTAGGTGGGGGCCGAAGGACACCTTGGCCTCCCATTTTATAAAAAAAATATATATTTTATTACAGAGAGGGATAGAGAGTTAGAAACATCGATGAGAGAGAAACATCGATCAGCTGCCTCCTACACACTCCCACTGGGGATGTGCCCGCAACCAAGGTACATGCCCTTGACCGGAATCGAACCTGGACCCTTCAGTCCGCAGGCTGACGCTCTATCGACTGAGCCAAACCAGTCAGGGCTTGGCCTCCCATTTGTGAAGCGCTCAGATTTAGGCTTTTGCATCCTGTGCCACTGAGGTGACAAGACGCCACAGTGACACCCTGACACTTGTAATAGAAGACCTCGTCGTAGGACTTCCGGCCGGTGTCCCAACGCAAGGCCACATTGCTCGGGCGTGTGTGAATTCCTTTTTATTTTTGTAATTAATTCTGTAATTATGAGTAGCATAATTTGATTGCTGCACCTTGCCATCTGTGATAGAACATTAAAACAAAGTCAACTCTAAAAATGGTGAGTGATATTTAAATCATAATTGGCGCAATACTTTCTTTTATCAACATTTCTGAAATAAGATTTTACCATAAAAATGATGTTGTTTCGTGTTGGTCAAAATAGTTCAATCAGCCCTGCCTGGTGTGTCTCAGTGATGAGAGCATCGGCCTGCGCACCGAAAGGTCAAGAGTTCAATTCCCGGTCAAGGGTATGTGTCTGGGTTGCAGGTTTGATCCAGGCCCCTGGTTGGGGCGAGTGTGGGAGGCAACAAATCGATTTCTCTCTCTCTCTCTCTCCCTCTCCTTCTCTCTCTCTTTCCACCCCACTCCCTTCCACTCAAAAAAAAAAAAAAAAAATCAATGGAAAAAATATCCTTGGGTGAGGAGTAACAAAACAAAAAGGAAAAAATATTGCTCAATCATTATACTTTTTGTGTCTATATACATAAACAAATGATCACATTATAATTGTGTTGTTAAATACAATAAGTCAAATATAAACATTTAGTGCCTGTTGCAATTTTTTGTAAACCTGCTTTAGAATTTCTTAATTAATTTTTTTAAATATACAGAGACTCACAGAATGGAAGTGGCCTGGGGCCTCTCTCAGCCCCTGAGTGGCCCGGGTGAGGCTCTGGCTAAGGGCGAGTTGATCAGGGACCTATGGCACCCCTGAGGGTCAGAGTGTCAACATGGCCTGAGCCCAGCCAGGTTTGAGGCCATTGGTTCGATCACCTTCCTCCGGATCGGCTGACTTACACTCACCCCACTTTTAAGCTTTGCTTGGGGGGCCCCGATACTCACTGGTAGCAGTTGTTGTTGAATTTGTTGTAGCTAGCAAAAGCCAGTAAGACCCCAAAGCCAGGACCGAGAGAAAAGAAGATCTGCGCAGCAGCATCCACCCACACCTGGAACACAGCAGGGGAAGGGTGAGGGCCGGGGCCCTGGGCCCAGGTGGGGTGCGGGCGGGGCCAGCGCCTCGCGCCCCCACGTGGCTGTGCACAGACACCGATTAGCAGCTCTCCCGGCTTGTTCCAGGGATGGCCACACAGCCAGCGCCAACAGATGCGGTTTCCCTTCTGCCATGTGGGCACAGACCAAGCCAGTGACCTCAACTGGACTTTTCCTGCGTGTATTCCTGATGGAAAGCATCACTGCAGACTTGCCACCGAACCCACATTTGCGTTGTTGCTACTGTCCTATTGGGAGGGTTAGTTTCACTTAGTAAAATGACAGAGAGGTGCACACCATTTTCCTCATTGTCTTACCCCTGTCTCCAGGAGTTTCTGCCAGTTGGGTTTCAAGTAGAAGAGAACACCCCTCCAGGCTCCGGGGAGGGTGGCCCCCCTCACCAGCAGGACCAAAAGGATGATGTAAGGGAAGGTGGCTGTCACCCACACCACCTGTGAGGACGGGAAGACAGGTTATCACCACGTGGATGTTGGTGTCTTTTATTCTTGAAAACCTTCAAGAAAGGAGATCTACCCCTTTCCTTTTCTCTGTGATTGTAGGAGGGAGGGTGCTGGGGCAGACTGGTCACAGCCTTCAGAATCAGACAGGGACCTGACCCACCACTGGGTGTTGCTAACTACCTCCAAACCCACTCCCCACCTGTAAGTGGGGCAAGAATCTAGCAGGAAACAGTCAAGTAGCCACTGAGCAAATTATTGCCACTATTATCAACTGTGACTCTACCAGGGGGTTAAAGAAAAAAAATTTTAAAGCATGTAATGGTTCTTGGAAGTGGCCCATTTCTAGAACCTTCTAACATTTGGTGGAGAGAGACTGCACATCATGGGATGTGTCTGGTGTAGAAGGAGACAATGCCCTTCTGTCTGTGGCTGTCTGGCCCACCGAGTTCTCAGTTGGAGATCCCCTGGGGCCCCCTGGCAGGCCCAGAGCAGCGGAGTCCTCCTTACCTTTCCAGATGTTTTGACGCCTTTCCAGATGCTAAAGTAGATAATAGTGAAGATGAGCATGATGCAGAGGGCAAGCTGCCAGCTGACGCCCCCCAGGTCCTGCAGCCCCTTGGACCGGTGGATCTGCAGGACATGGCGCCTGGAGTGAAAGAGGAAGAAAGGCCTGGGGATGGTCCAAACAGTGACCTGAGCACAGCGTTGTGATACCTGGAGGAGGGGCCAGGACGACATGGGCCTGGCCAGTGTGGCTCAGTGGTTGAGCATCGGCCATGCACCAAGAGGTTGCCGGTTTGATTCCTGCTTAGGGCACATCCCCAGCAGAGGGCATTCAGGAGGCAGCTGATGGATGTTGATATTTCTCTTTCATCAATATTTCTATCCCTCCCTCTCCTTTCTTCTCTTTCTAAAAATCTAAAAAAATCAATAAAAAAAATATTTTTTAAGCTAAAAGGTCTCACAAAAAGAGAGAGAGAGAGAGAGAGAGAGAGAGAGAGAGAGAGAGAGAGACGACACGGACACTGCATTGCAAGCACCAAGTGGTCACTAAGCCTCAGCAAGCGCTGGGGTTGGCCCTGGCCAGTGTTCCCAGTGGTTAGAGCGTTGGCCCACACACCAAAGGGTTTCCCAGTCAAGGGCACGCACCTGGGTTGCAGGTTTGACTCTCAGCCCCCGTTAGGGCGCATGCAGGAGGCAACTAACCCATGTGTCTCTCTCACATCGATATTTCTCTCTCCCCTCTCCCTTCCATTCTCTCTAAAAAATCAATGGGAAAAATATCCTGGGGCAAGGATTAAAAAAAAAAAAAAGAGCTGGGATTGGCTCTGCCCACCAGGAAGGAGGGACTAGCACATTCTTCAGGCAACCAACCCTGAGAGACGCGCTCAGCCCAAAGGCAGCCTCCCAGGCCGTCGCCCGGAATCCCAGCCTTACAGAATACTCCCTACTCCAGGCATCCAGGCATCTTCCTCCAGGGGGTAGGTCCCCCTTACACAGTGAACACATGAGACCAGGAACTGTGTGAATAGTTTCAAAGTGTCAGAGGCTGGGCTCCCCTGACACCGGCTGAGAGGAGGGCCCAGGAAGAAGGGCGGTTTTGAAGCGGGGAGTCGTTTTGGAACATGAAGGTAGGGATCGTCCTGGGCACGCTGGAGCCACCGGGCACGGCACATCGGAAAAGGCCAGATGGCACAGCGGGCCAGGTTATGGAGTTGGGGGACTCCAGATCTGGACTGAGGGAGGCCACCCCTGCCCGGGCCTCCCTTCACAGAAGCCAGGCCGCAGGGCTGTGGCCTGCCCTCCACAGACCGCGCCGTCACTTGCAGGCACTCACGTGTAGAATTCCTCCGCGGGGGACGTGGAGTGGAGTGTCCAGGTGATGTTGTCCTCTGAGAAGTAGTTGGTGCAGTTGCCGGTGTTCCAGGAGTTCTTGCAGCTGGTCCAGGGCAGCTGGTCGGTGAAGGAGGAGATGAGGTAGTAGAGTGCCCAGGCCATGATGGTGTTGTAGTAGGAGGCGATGTAAAAGGCAATGATGCAGATGGCGTAACCGATCCCTGGGACAGAGGGGGAGGGAGGCCAGTGTAAGAGGCAGCCCCACTGTGAAAGGCTGAAACAGGGCATCGAGGGCACTGCATGGGGGGAGGGGGGGTGGCGCAGAGGCTGGGAGGAGGGGGCTGCCACTCATCTCATTCCCCAAAGACTCAGGAGGTGGTGGGAGCGGCACTGTGGTAAAGGACGTATATGTATGTGCAAGGTTACATGTCTCCGAACATGTGTGTGTGCTGTGAAAGCTTTAGCATGTTTTCTATGTCGTGTACATTGTCATTTATTCTGTTTCCCTTTAACCATCTCATACCACCCGAGCAGTCAAAAGCTTAGCTACTCTACTCCAGTTTCCTGCCAGGGTGACCGAAGGCTTCACTGCTTCCAGAGGCCCCCCGCTGGCCCCCACTGACGGAGAACACCACTTCCTGGGAACACCCGCCCCCTCAGCCTCTCCGTTACCTTTGAAAATCGGGCAGATTTTCCTCCATATTGAAATGCATCCGTTTCGGTGGTACTGGCCCAGCGCGAGCTCCATGTAGAAGAGCGGGATCCCCCCAAAAATGGCCATGATGGTGTAAGGGAGGAGGAATGCTCCTGAGGCAGATGAAAGAGTATTTTACGCTCTGCCCAGCTCGGTGCCAGGATGGCGCCACTGACCTGGACACCAGGGGCCACGCCCAGAATCGCAGAGCCAGCGGGTGCTCCAGCGTCACGAAGCTACCTTACGCTGAGCGACCTCACACGGCTCACTCTCTGAGTGTTTCCTCCCCTAGAAAGCCACAGGGCTGAGAGCCACCCATCAGAATCACTTAAAAACACCCACCCACCCAGAATTCCTCAAGCAGAAGCTCCAGGTATGGGCGTAACAACAACAAAAAACTGTCAGCTCCACAGGTGATTCTGATGTAGCCAGTACAGGAAGCAGCGTCTGGGACCCTTGGGACAGACCTCCTGGGACAGCCTGTGGAAGAGCTGAGATGATCTGTGAGTCACCAAATTCGTTTCTTTGTTCATCCATATCACCCCTGACTCCAGACTCTTGATTATTGACATTTAGCTATTTTCCATCATTCCACTGAGTTTTGGGCCGGAATGCTCCCTCCTGAGCCACTTTGGCAGGTGGGCCCGAGAAGGGCAGTTGGTCATGGACTGAGAGGGCGGGGCTGCTGCACTTCTGGCTCTGGTGGCGGAGGCAGAGTGTGGAAATGCCAGGTGAAGGATGGCCCACCTGCAGCCCCAGGATGGGTCGGCTTGGTTTTCCCAGACAACTTTCCCTCGCATAACGTGCTCTGAACCTAGAAACCTGAAGTTTCCACCTAACTTACAATCACTCTGCGGAAATCTGCATTGAAAATAAGAGCCACATGGTGTTGTCATGGTAGCATCTGTCCATAGGGTTTGCCTATCTGGTTTCACCGTAAGGAATGAGTGTAGGAGAAACGACACTCGTGGCCCAGTCCCTTAAGTAATGCTCTGGCTAAGGGTGAGTCCTCCCAAGCTAGAGGTAAGGGATTCCAACCTCTGCTCTTCCCAGGCAGCGAGTGCTGGCCTCCCCGCTCCCCCCCCCCACGCCCCCTTCCCATTCCCCCCACCCCCTACAGGAACTACCTCTACAGCTGCATGGACCATGGCCCTTAAAGCACCAAAGACAGGCAGCTCTGTGTCAGGCCATGGACACAAATGCGTTACCTCCCAAACCTCATTTTAGTTGCCCTCCCAAATCTGTTGCCAGAGCTCCTGTCAAAATAAACACGGGCTGCTATGACTCCCATCTTTCCTTCTTTTCCTATTCTGAGAGCAAGTCCAGTGTGTCAGCACGGAGGCACCACACCTACCCACTCCTCTCTCTGGGGACCCCATATCTATGCCCATAGTCAGTTATTATTATTTTTTTCATAATCTATAAGTTAACTGCTCTGAGGGCACTGGGAGTAGGAGGCGGAACAAGAACTAGTTCTGGCCTCAAAAATCTAACCCTCTTGTCAGAATACAAGGCACATCCATGCATGGTTGGGGGTTGGCATTAATGTCAGGCGTGGCTGGGTCCAGCTCTGGATCATGCCCAGACTGTACCTTAAGACTCTCGACCTGAGCTGACCCCTTTCTCTGATCTCACACAGGTCCAAAGGCCCAGGAGGGTCTGGACCCTGGAGCTGCCTCCCAATTTTTCCTTCCACAGATCTCCCCTCTCTGGACTCCTCTGAGGAGGAGCAAAGGAGCTCAGCACAGGGCTGCTGGCCTCCCTCACATCTCGCTGAGTGGAGAGTGGAGCTTGGATACACAGGGCTGAGAAAGGGCTCTTCAACGCACGGAGCACTAATAGCCCTGGCTGGTTTGGCTCAGTGGATAGAGCGTCGGCCTTCGGACTGAAGGGTCCCGGGTCCGATTCTGGTCAAGGGCACATGCCCGGGTTGCGGGTTCGATCCCCAGAGGTTGGAATCCCCCAGGGTGTGCAGGAGGCAGCCGATCAATGATCTCTCTCATCACTGATGTTTCTACCTCTCTCTACCTCTCCGAAATCAATAAAAATATATTTTAAAAAAACCAAACAGATGGAGCACCAGTGATGTTGAAATCTGCTGAGGTCAGGCTAGGGAGGTTTAGTCCAATTTCATAACCCGAGAGACTCACACGCTTATCTTTTAGATGAGCTTCTAAGTCTAAGCAGTCAGATCAGTTAAACAAGATGGAAAAGATTGCTCATGGCCCATGATACTGACCCCCTCCATTCTGGTAACAGATGTAGGGAAAGCGCCAGACGTTGCCCAGGTCCACAGCATAGCCAATGACCGACAGGAGGAAATCCATCTTCTTGCCCCAGGTCTCCCGCTCCCCCGAGTGAACCTCAGCCACTAGGGCGGTGGTGGCAGCCGGGATGGAGTGCGGAGTGTCATCTCCTGCACCGGGGCTCGGAACTGCTGAGTACCCGTTGGAGATCTGGCCGGACTCCACCTTATCCCCAGAGGCGGGAACACCCTTCCGTAGAAGTCCATTTTCCTGACAGTCTTCTCCGTTCTTACACACTGACAGCTCCTTCTGGGAATTTAAGGGTGTGGTCTCCATTCTGCTGTCTAGTAGACGATGCTGACGCCCATCCGCGAGGACCTGAACGGAATTCTTGGTGCACGATCTGTGGGGGTCCTCGGAGCTTTATGTCAGTGGGATTGAGAGCTCTGTTGGAGAGGCACACAGAGAAAGAATAGAATTAGGCATTTTTACTTGGCTCTGGTATTAACTCATCATTTTTTGTGTGTGCTTGCTTAATCCCTTCACCTTTTCACCTAGCCCTCAAGCCCCCACCCCTCTAACAACTGTCAGTCTATTCTCTGTATCTATGAGTCTGTTTCTATTTTGTTTGTTAGTTTATTTTGTTCATTAGAGTTCATATAATAGTATAAGTGAGATCATATGGTATTTGTCTTTCTCTGACTGGCTTATTTCACTTAGCACAATACTCTCTGGGTCCTATTGCAAAAGGTAAGATTTCTTTATTTCTTTATGGTTGAGTAGTGTTCCATTGTGTAAATGTATCACAGCTTTTTTTTAACCACTCGTACTGATGGGCACTTGGGCTGTTTCCAGATCTTGGCTATTGTAATAATGCTGCAATGAACATAGCGGTGCATGTATTCTTTCAAATCTGTGTCTTCGGTTTCTCCTAATATATTCCAGAAGTGAAATAGCTGGGCCATAAGGCAGTTCCATTTTTAAATTTTTGAGTTAACTTCATATAGTTTTCCACAATACGGGTACCAGTCTTCGTTCTCACCAACAGTGCACAAGGGTTTCCTTTTCTCCACATCCTCACCAACACGTGTTATTTGTTGATTTGTTGGTGATAGTCATTCTGATAGGTGTGATGAGATGTCATTGTTTTAATTTGCATCTCTCTGATGACTAGTGACATGAAGCATCTTTTCATGTCTACTGGCCATCTGTATGTCCTCTTCGGAGAAGTGTCTATTCAGGACCTTTGCCCATTTCTTAATTTGGTTGTTTGTGTTTTTTGGTGTTGAGTTTTATAAGTTCTTTATAAATTTTGGATACTAACCTCTTATCAGATGTATCATGGTGAATATGTTCTTCCATTCAGTGGGTATCTTTTCATTCTGTTTATGGTGTCTTTTGCTGTGCAAAATTTTTCAGTTTGATATAGTCCTATTTATTTATTTTTCCTTTTGTTTCCCTTGCCCGAGGAGATATATCAGAAAAATATTGCTATGAGAAATGTCTGAGATTTTACTGCCTATGTTTTTTTTCTAGGATTTTTATGGTTTCAAGTCTAACTTTTAAGTATTAAAAGTTAACTTTTTAGTATTTATTTCAAGCCTAACTTTTAAGTAATTCATTTTAAAATTTATTCTTTTATATGCTGTAAGAAGGTGGTCTAGTTTCATTTTTTTTACATGTATCTGTCCAATTTTCCCAACACCATTTATTGAATAGACTGTCTTTACCCCATTGTATGTTTTTGCTTCATTTGTCAAATATTAATTGACCATAAAGGCATGGATTTATTTCTGGGCTTTGTATTCTATTCCATTGATCTGTATATCTATTTTTATTAATATAGCCCTGTAGTATAGTTTGATATACAACTTTGTTCTCCTTTCTCAAGATTGCTGAGGCCATTTGGGGTCTTTCGTGGTTCTATATAAATTTTTGGAATACTTGTTCTACTTCTGCAAGATATGCCATTGGTGTTTTGTTAAGAATTGCATTGAATCTACATTTTGGACATTCTAATGATTTTAATTCTCCCTATCCATGAACACAGTATATGCTTCCACTTATTTGGAGCTTCTTCAATTTCTTTTTTCAGTGTCTTAGAATTTTCTGAGTGCAAGTCTTTTACATCCTTGGTTAAGTTTATTCCTAGGTATTTTTTCAATGCGATTATAAATGGGATTGTTTTCTTAATTTTCCTTTCTGATAATTATTGGTATATAAAAATGCAACATATTTCTATATATTTATTTTGTATCCTGATACTTTACTGAATTTATTTATCAGCTTGAATAGTATTTTTTTTTGTGTGTGTGTGTGTGTGTGTGTGTGTGTGTGTGTGTGTATGGGATCTTTAGGGTTCTCTATATACAGTATCATGTCATCTGCAAATAATGACAGTTTTACTTCTTCCTTCCCAATTTGGATGCTTTTTAGTTTTTCTTCTTGTCTGATTGCTGTGGCTAGGATTTCCAGTACTATGTTGAGGAAGAGTGGTGACAGTGGACATCCCTGTCATGTTCCTAATCTTAAGGGAAACACTTTTAGCTTTTGCCTCTTGAGTGTGATGTTGGCTGGGGGTTTGTTATATATGGCCTTTACTACATTAGGTATGTTTCCTCTATTCCCACTTTGCTGAGAGTTTTTTTTTTTATCATAAATGGGTGCTGCATTTTATCAAATGTTTCTTCTGCATCGATTAATATAATCATGTGACTTTTATCCTTCATTTTGTTTATGTGGTGTATCACATTTATTGATTTGCAGATATTGTACCAACCTTGCATTCCTGGACTAAATCCCACTTGGGCATGGTGTATGATCTTTTTAATGTACTGCTGAATCCAATTTGCTAATATTTTGTTGAAGATTTTAGCCTCTGTATTTATCAGGGATATTAGCCTATAATTTTATTTCTTCGTAGCATTATATCTGGTTTTGGAATTAAGATAATGCCCGCCTCGTAAAATGAGCTTGGGAGTCTTCCCTCCTCTTGAATTTTTTTGATGGTCTGAGAAGGATAGGTGTTAGTTCTTTGAATGTTTGGTAAAATTCACCGGTGAAGCCATCTGATACAGGACTATTGTTTGATGGGAGGTTTTTTGTTTTTTTGTTGTTTTTTTTTTATTACTGCTTTAATTTCACTAGTTGTAATCTGCTTATTCAGATTCACAGTTTATGGCTGTCTCTACTGGGATTGGGTGTATGCAGGAAGAACCAATCTGTGCACTAAGCCTGGCTTTTACCAGCATTGGGCCCAGGGGCAGGTCAGCAAAAGTCCCCAAGGCACTCTGAGATCCGCCTGCCAGCTGCCTGTTAGGCTCAGTCACTGAAAAAGCCTCTGGCAGTACTTGAGTACATGAGATAGGTTCTCAGTGAGTCACCAGGTAGGGGCCAGTGGTGTTCACTGGCCAGATTGATACAGGTTCAAATTTGGTGCCAGTGTTGAGTCTGAGGTCACTCAAGTCTAGCTGCCACCCGCTGAGATCTTTGTTGTGGGGCAGGATCTTAGGGTGTCATCAAGGAGAGGCCACCAGAGTTTATTAGGCCCCAAAAGACCAAGATGTGGCCGTGTGAAGGAAGGGCACTGCACCACTTGGGCATGCGGGTAAAAATGACCCACATCCTAGAGTAGGGGTGGACAACCTTTTTGTGAGTGTGTGCCAAAACCAGCAAAATCTCTGACTCAAAATTCTTCTGCATGCCAACCCTAATTTTTTGAGAACATGTTATACCTACTTGATATCTCTTAAGGTGTACGTATGTGAAGAACCTTGAAGAAATAGTAAAATTAATTTGAGCGACAAAAACACAGTATATGATGATGAAAAATACATTTATTTTTTAATGTATACATGTACACTGATAGTCCAACAGAAAACTGTATGACTCCCTTTGATATTATCAGTGGGACTTTTGCTGCTGCATCACTGATGACAGAGATTTTACATCAGGTTTATATTTCCTGACCTTCAGAGATATGCACGAACTACTACTTTCATCCGTCAGGCTACTCCTATTACGAGACTTAACAAAATTCATCACTGAGAACAAAGATTCACAAGCGTATGTGGATGAAAACATGGAGAGTGACACTGTTGCAAAGTTTTTTAAACAGAAAAAATTTTCTGGAATGGCATTCTGAGTCCTCAGTAGTTCGTTTTTGACACTTCTCTCTGGTACTCCTGTCTGTAATCGCTTTTTTTCAATATTTTCCAAGTCAACTCTGAGGTCAATAAATTTCTGCTTCCAAATTGAGCTACTCTGAAATTCAATCAACTGCATTTCAAAGTCAGCCATGTCTATCCATGAAAACATTTGTAAGTTTAGTTCCTCCAGTTTCATGCTGTCTGGAAACCTCATAAATTTTGCTGTCTCTTCCAGTTCTCTGAATTTCACAAATCTTGAGAAGAACTGCTCAATAGTTGACTCAATAATGTTTAAAAACAACTTTTGAAGGCTTTGACAGTCTGTTCTGTCATCTTTTGGGAGGTCTTTGATGTACCTCTTGAGGTTTGGGAAATATCTAAATCTCTCACCATCCACATCCCTCTTGAAGACTTCCAGTTTCTTTTCAAAAGCCTTTATGTAACCAAACATAACATCAAGTGTCTTGCCAGTTCCTTGTAATTTAACATTTAAGTCATTCAAATGTTCACAAAAATCTGCAAAGAACATCAGTTTAGCAACCCACGTGGTGTCAGACAATTCTTGGTAAGAAACATGTTGGTTATTCAAGAAGAGCGTTATCTCGTTTAGGCATTCAACGAATCGTTTCAGAACCAAATCTCAGCTAAGCCATCGAACATTGTTGTACATTTTCAGTCCTTTATACACAGATTCTACCTCATTCAGTAAAACTTGAAATTGTTTTTTATTTAAAGCCTGAGCAGAAATGTAATTAACAACTTTGGTAACTGTTTGTATCACTTCCTGCAGTTCCTTGAGGCCAGCTTTTGCACATAAAGCCTCATGTATGATGCAATGAAAACCTATCAGTGTATGACCAACTTCTTTCGCAAACAGATTTACAAAACCTGCTTTCTCACCAGCCATACAAGGAGCACCATGAGAGGTGACGGACACCACTTTTGAAATGTCAATTTGTTGAGGAGAGAATTTGTTCATAACTGCTTTACATAATTCAGCCTGAGTGTACATAGAGGTAGTACACTCAGGTAGAGTTAGAAGGGCAACCATCTCTTCACATATTTCATCACCTTTACAAAGTCGAGAAAAAATGGCCAGCCTAGATGACAATGTAATGTCTTTCATCAATACAAATAGAAAAAAATTGACATGAAGACAAATCTTTTGTTAATTGTTCAGCAGTATTACTCACCAACTTAAGTATCCTATCCTTAAGTGTTCTCCTGCTCACAGACAAATGTGCTGAATAATCTTTTCTTTTTCTGAGAGAGTTTTGCGTGCCAGCAAAAGTTACTGG